CACTTACTTGTTTTTCTTTTTTTTTTTTTTTTTAGCGAGAATATCATTCTATGGTAGAATTCTGTCATTTCTTTATTCATCCAATGACAGTAATAATAATTTATTGTTTATTTAGCAAATTTAAGCTTAATTACGCTCGTTCGTAGAAACTAAAAACTCATCGGCAATCGATATGTAACATGTGCGTGTATCAACAGCCGCAATAGCGAGTACGCTATTATCGGCAAAAAATGAAAAATATTTGTACGTACTCGTTTGCGTATCGAAATACGCCTCTAATGTCAACTTCTCTTACAAGTGCGTTCATCAACGGAATTTGAACCTCCGGTGCTCCCATTCCTACTAAAACTGCCACTCCACCCGATTTGGTCACCTAAAAATCCAAGGCATGTACGCTTAACTTGCGTGTGATGCACGATAAGTACGTAGGTGCGTCTATTATACATATGTTTCATTTCGCTACATTTCTCTACGTGTTGTATATTTATTCGATTAATCGATATTACTATTACATCTAACTGATTATATCAACAGTGATTCTTATTGAAAAATCAGTCGATAAGAAAGAAAAGATGCGCGTATAGACAAAAAATGGAAGACTTACGAGAATCGCCAATCGTATCATAGACTGTGCCCCACACGCATCAATCGTCGCGTCAGGTTCTTCACCCAAGAGCTCGATAATTTTCTCTGCATTTTTGGACTCTTTATCCTCCTTTGTCGTTAATAATATTCCATCAGCACCAAGTTTCTTTGCAAGATCTAACCTATTTTGTGAGAGATCTAAAGCAGATCGTTCCGTAACTATTGTAAATCGTAAATTGCAAACGTTTTATTTTTACGTATATTTATGTATCTATATGAAAACCCTTAATTCTCGATTGATCGTACGATAGAGGAAAAAGCATACCCATAATAACGACTTTACTGGCCCCCATAGCTTTCGCTACCAATAACGATACTAGACCGATCGGTCCGGCTCCCAAAATCAAAACTTTCGAACCGATACCAATGTTCGCGCGCTTACAAGCGTGTACACCGACTGATAAAGGCTCCAGTAGCGCTCCTTCCGCTAACGTCACATTGTCTGGTAATCTGTAACGTAACCGGACAATTTCAGTTATTACAGGTCAAATATCATTTAAAAATATTTAAGTCACATATATGTATATCCGATTAAATATAAAAATCTATACATCCTTATAGGATGATAAAGGTATAAAAATGTATTTACGTATACTTACTTGAAACAAAAATCAGCAGCGTGCTTGTAGAAACGTCTTAAGCTGCCATGTACCGGAGGAGTAGCGCAAAATACCATCTCTTTGCATAAATTGTAACGTCCTCCTTTACAAAATTTGCATATTCTACAGGATACCCCGGGTTCAATGGCTACTCGATCACCGACCTAAGTTAGATATTTATTAAACATCGATCGGTGCAGATAAATGATATTTAAGCGAATTTCTTTAACATACAAGTTGCAATAGACGATTCTTCGATTTGTTTATCCTTTGACCTACTATGTATACATATACCTACATACATGCGTATAGAGTATACGTAACTTGACGACTGAATGACACGTACATAAATACCATACTATCCAAACTATCTGTTTCCTTTCTTTTTACTATTATCTTTAAAAAAACTATTTTAATAGTCAGAATAACATTCGTTATTCGTTCCCGCGTACCTTCAAATTTTTTACATTCTTTCCAAGTTTGACAACCACTCCGGAAGATTCGTGACCTATTATCATAGGTTCCCGCACCACAAAGTCACCTATTCTACCATTTACCAAATAATGAACATCGGAACCACAAATTCCAACGCAACCCATTTGCAAGAGTACCTCTAAAGGAGAGAAAAAGGCATAATAAACATTCGCTTTTCTTGTACTACACCTTGCTGTACTTCCATTTAATAAAATGAAAAAGCTCTCACCATCTTCGGCAGGTTCCTCGATCGGAGTTTGTTCCTATAATGGAGAAAGATAAGAACTATAGCTATCAATCGTATACAACAGTAGCATTTATGGTTTGTAAGATTGGTTCAACTTAAAAATTTCGTTAAACATAATTTTCTACAACTTTTTAAATTATTTTTATAACGCAACAACAAACAAAACGATAAATAGGAATAAAAGAATAACGAGTGTATTCGATTTTAGATATAACAAGATTTCGTTTCGAAATAGAAACGATATAACGTTAGAACAGCAATGCGCTAGCTTTTAGCGAGCGCATTCTATGCGCACGTAACATGAAATAGATTGACCCCGCGTATAATCGCAAATAACGAAATAATGACGAAAATAGCGAAGTTTGTCCTTGTACGTGCACAGGCGATTTGTCTCGTTCCTATTCGTTGACCATTCCATATGTTAATTGTGTTAGCGGTAGTAACCGTTTCAAGTAATAACAGAGGAGACAAAGAAACAAGTTAAATCGACATAATCGTTTCCTCCAAATTACACTTTAACGAAATCGAGATAAGCTACGATGCGCGGCTGAGCTATTTCATATATTATTACGTACATAGGGTAACATAAAAGGTGTTAAAACATTTCTATAATCGTCTCATTACGCGTTCGTGTAAATAAATCGCGATTATTCACGAGAAAATGATCACAACTGAATATTTCATATTTAGGATATTCATCTCATATTAGGTACTTAGGTATACGTATATGTATGAGATATTTGTATAATTTATTACTAAATTTGTAATACTGACCAGTCTTATATCGTTGATACCATAGAGAATAGCTGTGAGATTGTCTTTGGCCATGTTAAAAAAGCAGATGTCGTTACAGCAATCGACGAACACGATTTATACTAAAATAGATTCCGCGAAGAGCACTAGAATGACACTCAAACTAGAAGAGAAGAGCGTGCGCGGCTTATATATGAGCAGTCTAGCTGTCGCGATCATCACAACAAGCAACCTTATCATTCGTACCCTGTGGAATCGTTTTACTCTTCTAAAAAATATCGATGTGCTCGACGAACTTTCTCGATTAACTACTTTTGTTTTGTTCGCATCTTCGCACAAATGTTCTTTCCGTTTCTGTCACTCTCCAAGATTTTTGTAAAATATTCGAGTCTGTTCGAAACATTCCTTCTCGAATCAAACGACCCTTGGAGCGAAACCTCCAATCAGTCTCCGTCGATTCGGTTCAAAGTTCAAGATCGTTGATCCATTGCAAAATAATACATTTGGAGTGAATATAAAAATTCAAATCTTAAGATGTTCGTTATAATAGACATGTATCTGATATTGAATAATTGAACAATATACAATTTTCCCCCCAAAAATAATTTTTAAAATGTTTATTTTATATATACAGGGTAAATCGATAAAAAGTATGCATTATCTAAAATAACTCGTTACCTATTGATGCAACCTAATGATGCAATTGTATTTTTCTATATCTTATATTTTCTGACATATCAAGATGACCTTGAGTTTTTTTATAGACACCGTATACGTTAACATTCTCTGTAAAAAAGCATTAACTTATTTATACCGAAAAACCAGATATTTTAATTTTAATCTATCAAACTTAACGTATGAAAGACAAAGATAAGGTAAACGCAAGAATAACACTTTGAGTCTTTCCTTGTCTTTAATACGTTAAACTCAACGATTCGTTTATGACGTTTTTCGATAAGGCCAGTAGGTAACGAGGTATTTTAAGTAGTACTTCTTATTGGCTCGCTCTATATGCATGTGTATATGAATCTAACGATCGAAAATTAAAATTGGAAATTATTTCTTGAGGAAGTAAGACATTTCTATGCTGTAGAAACGAGACGTAAAAATTTACTTTATAGGGACAATTGCAAAAATGAACTTCTCTAATCACCAAACATACCCCAATGTACATACGTATGTACACACATACAGATGAAATATGTTAACACCAATGTAAACGAACAGTTGTAACTTCCGAATATAAACAAAATTAATGTTTACTGAAATGTAAGCAACTTTTGACCTTCGTATCTAATTTCAAATTATCTTATCTGCCTAATGCAAATTTCGTACTACATACAAAATGCTACATTTCTTCTTAAAATGATCTATGTTTCTTCCTAATCCTCTCATTACTATATGAATAAAAGGTACCAAAAATTTTCGTAACATTTGATAAAGATGTTAATATCTATAGCCTGTGATCATATTGCACCCTTATAGATAAATAAAATTAACTTACTTGTATAAATATTTAAAGTTTGTTTGTATTATGAACTACCGAAAATTTCGAAGGAAACATGGATTCAATCATCAAGTCACATAATATATTAGATTAATCATTTTGCAATCTCTTCTCTTAATTACCTTTTTTTCGTAAATCGTTATTAACTTATTTTAAATATATATGAACGTCTATATTTGAATGTATCTCTAACGACAATTGATATTCGAATCTTTCTTCCAAATATATTCTGTTGCTAAACCAATTATATATTTATAGATGATTATTAAGAGGTTTAATGATAAGTACGAAGCATCACTATACATCTAACACTTACATAATCAGGGTGAAGGGAAAGACAAAAAGAGAGAGAAAGGAGAAAGATAGATAGATAGATAAATAGATAGCTAGATAGATAGTTAGATAGAGAAAGAGAGAGAGAGAGAGAGAGAGAGAGAGAGAGAGAGAGAGTCTGTGCAAATAGTGCAAAGAATCATATAGATTTATATCCTCTGCTATGTCGAATGTTATGTAAGAAACAATATGTCGAAGAATTAAAACGTATCACATTTAATAAATATACAGTGGCACATACTAGGACCATGACTTGAATTTTAATCATTCTCATGTTAATTTCATTTTCTCTTGTTATCTTTATCTTGCCAGTTAATAGTGCTAATCTTTTTCGATGGTGGAGTGGATACTTAGATTTAAAAGTGTTATGCTATATCTAAATAAATTCTTTTAGGGAAATAAGTATAATATAGAAATGATCGAAGCTTTATTAATAAAAATATATTATTTGTTAGCTTCGTTTTATTTTTTACTTTTGTTGTTTTTTATTTTTGAATAAATCATCTACAATAAGTAGCAAAAGTGTATCATTTTTATTCCCACCCCCATATCCCTGTTGATTGTTTAATCGTATCCCTATTCTCCCTTCTAACTCTAGTTATCGCATTTGCCTCTCCTTTCACGAGAATTCTTCTAGATTGCTCCCTCTTTTCACGTTTTTGTAAAGCTATTTTCACCTTTTTCTTAATAAGTTCAGGGGCGATCGTTGAAGCTGTCATACTACTGTACATACTTTTCAAATCATTAAATTTTTCTACATCATCATCTTCTGAATTGCATGTTTCTGTAAAAAGAAACGAATTGGTTATTTCTTTGTTGTGCTTTACATTTAAATCGTATGACTTTTTGCCTATTAAGTTTCCCACTGACTTACCCATATCGATCTTTTTAACACCTTCTTCTAAAATACGATCTTCTACGGATAAAACAATTGAATCTTCCTTCTCATTTGTTTCTGAGTCTTCGGATGTTTTCTTTGATGTACACATAAATTCATTTCTCACAGAGTTTTCGACTTCGAGTTGTAAATAATCAATTTCACTCTCATTCGTATTTTTATTTTCTTCATCCGTATCCTCGTTGCAATCCTCCTCAATTTCTTCATCTTCAACTTCGACCATGCCTATTTCCCTCAAAAGATCCTTTTCCATTTGTTTTGTAATACCACTGGCCTTAATTTCTACGTCGATACAATCTTCTCTCCTAAAGATAGATCCAGTTGTATAATTTAAACTGCAAAGCTTTTATCATTGATATTTTATTTAACGTTTGTTTTTGCACTTTTATCGTAACTTACGAAATATCTTGAAACGTCGGATACAACTCACTTTCGTAAGCGAAACGTCTTTTAAAAAAATCACGAACACAGTTTACGTCTCTTTCAAAATAAGTTTTAGCATCCACATGCTCGGTAGAAATCATTTGTGGAAAATCAATAAGAATGGGTTTTCCGCTATTTGTTATCATGATATTAAATTCATTGAAATCTCCATGAATAACTCCATGATTTCCCAGTTTTACAATCAAATTCATTAGTTCGTCATACAACGATTCAACATCATCCAGTCTGTATACACCACATCTAAAACAAAACTGTCTTATACATACTGTGTCCAAAATAATATGATATAAAAGTTACTAATAATAATTATACTTACAGAGGTCCACCTTCAACCAGCTCCATAACAACGCAATGTCTATTGAGATCAATTGGTTTAGGTACTGGAAATCCTCTATCGAAAAGTGCTTTCATATATGCATATTCTCTTGTTGCTGATATTCTTGATAGATATAACCATGATGCCGATTTTCTATGTTGATGATAATCTCTCTTACTTTTGATATTTCTAAAACAAGTCCTTCCCAATCGATGCAGTTTTAAACACATTGGATTTCTATCCTCATCAGCAACTATATAGATATTAGATTCTTTTCCTACTCCAATTTGATTACCAAAAGAAGCAATAATACCTCTTTGTGCCAAAACTTTTAAAGCTAAATAGTCATAGCCTGCATTTGTCAAACGATAACCATCATCTAAAAAGGCAAAGAAAATATTTTATATACACACACATATTATCTCTGTTCTGCAATTCCCTTAAATTAAATTTTTATGAAAATTTATGTTATATTATATTGTATTAATTAAATGATCTTTAAAATAAACTAACATTGTTTCCCACGTTCATAACTGAGAAGCCTATGTTTGCATAGTTCCTTTAACAACTTATGTACACCACCATAACGCAAATTTGCTATTTGCGCAGCCAGTGATGCAGGAACAAGTTCATGATTCTTCATTCCCATTTCAATCTGTAATGACAAATATCAAAAAAACTGTTTAATGAAATTTAATAGCATTACTTAACCTTGACGTTTAATAAATTTAGTACTATTTTTCATTTTAAAAATAACAATTAATAGGAAAACATAATTTTCTAGCACAAGCTACACACATTGTACAAATAACGACACATGATTCGATTGGAGAATCCTTGTAAACAATTATTTCCTCATCTTTTAATACATATTGTACATTAAAAGATAAAAATCCCGAAATTTTGAATATAACCCTCAATTGTGCTTAACTTAATTATAGGCAATTGATAACATATATTTACCGCTGTTAAAACACGAAAATCATCTTTTGTTAAATATCGTAAAATCGTCACGTTTAATTTCCCCATGTTTATTTCAGGTTATTCCACTTTAATATTTTATCTCATTATAGTTTATCAAATACTAAACAGGATACACGGTAGGTGAGGACATTGATTAATAGAATGGACTACCGATGAGTGGCGACAAAGTACAGAACCTCATTCGTGTCAAATACTAATAGAGAGTTTATAGATTCTTGTATATGCTAGGGTGAAACCTGATGGAACCAAACAGAATAGATTCCTAGCTTTTGTAGCACTTGACCGCTTGGTGCAGCACTTGTACTGGGAGACTATGACCGCGGTCATAACTCGTGCAGGAAACAACTAAATTCCATCTCTAACATATGTAAAGGATCAAAGAAACTTTCTGTTATATAGTTGGCCATTATGAGGAAAACAACAAGCTTTGACTAACTAGTAATTTTCTGATAGATTGTGTTTGATTTTGTCGTGATTGCGATTGAAAAAACGTGGTAGTATTCGACAAGATGCAGGTTCCCCCGATTTTTATGGAATTACCCTTAGAAGATCAGGTAATTGATGGTGAAGATATATTAAATATCTAAGAGTCGAAAAAATCTTTATGTAAAATTCAAATAGCGTCCTTATTATCACTCTTTAATGAAAAGTATAGGTTATATTCAGTTTTCTATAGCTTCTCATTATTGTTTCATTTTATATATTCTGACAGAACGGACTCTAAAACAAATTTTAATAAATTAAATATATTTGAAATTAGTGCTTTATATTTAGGCGCAAGAGCTAAGAATATATTTTAAGAATTTGGGAGCTGAAATAAGTGAAGAAAAATCTCCTAAAGGAATAGAAGATGATTTACATAAAATTATTGGTGTTTGTGAAGCTTGCTTCAAGGAAGGAAATGAAAGTGAAATAGAAACAGTCTTAAATGACATTGTATCTATTATGATTGTGGTAAATATTTTATATATTTTTAAATTATAATAAGTTAACATATGTTTAGACAGCTTAGTAACTTTAAATTAATTTCATGTATTTTGGTTTAGATCCCCACTGAACGTGCAGAAAATTTAATATTAGCATTTTGTGAGAAATTAACAAAAGCTCCTGGATATAAACTTGGTTTAGTATGTCTAAAAGCGTAAGTTACATGAGTATCAGTAATATTACTAATTCTTTCATATAAAAACATAACACTCTTAAAATATTTTCTCAGATTGTGGTTATTATTTCAATCTCTTCCTGATGACTCTCCAATGAGATATCATGTCTATTATCACTTAGTTCAAATTGCTCGCAATGTGGATCAAGTAAAAGCTGTGTATGGTGGAATAGATCAATTAAAGCAACAGTTTGCATCACTTCCACCATCGAATGAACAAATGCAGAAATTACTTCGGTTACTTCATGAAGTACTTTTAAGTTGCAAACAGGGGTAAATGAAATTTTATTACATGATACATTATATTTAACAATGCAATATATTTCATGAAACTTTATTATTACTATAATAGGGAACAAGCTGCTGCTGTTATGGTAGAACTTTTAGGTACATATACAGCAGAAAATGCTTCTGCAGCTAGAGAAGATGCACAACGTTGCATTTTAGCTGCATTGGCAGATCCAAATACATTCTTGCTTGACCCATTGTTAGCATTAAAACCTGTAAGATTCTTGGAAGGGGAACTCATTCATGATTTACTTCTTGTCTTTGTACAAGACAAGTTACCTGCATACTTAGATTTTTATCAACATCATAAGGAATTTGTAGAACATCAACTTGGTATGTAAGCAACTGATAAAAGATATAAAAAATACGAATTTATTGAAAATATAAATATATTTTTTTTATTAGGATTAAATCATGAGCAAAACATGAAAAAAATGAGACTACTAACATTTATGCAACTAGCAGAAACAAACCCTGAAATGTCATTTGATACAATTCAGGAAGAATTACAAATTAATGAAGATGAAGTAGAAAGTTTTATTATTGATGGTAAATTATTCAATTAATTATATTACTAAGGCTTTCAATGTAATTGGAATATATATATGTGCAATTATAAAAATATTTTTTTCATACAAAGAATGTATGATTACCCTGCATAAATAAAATCAACCTCTATATTTTTTTATAAAATAGAGGCAATGTATACAGGGTATATTAACGAATCAGTACTGGCTTAGTGAAATTACATTTTTATTAAGTTATCGAAGTATTCAACATTTATATTGTGTATTAAATTGATATGGTGTTGTTTATATTTATGAAGCATATAAAAGAATATAAAATATCCACCTTTTTATGTTTCAGTATTAAAAACGAAACTTGTTAGAGCTCGTATGGATCAAGCTGGTCGCAAAGTTCTCATTTCAAGTACCATGCATAGAACATTTGGCAAACAACAGTGGATGCAACTACGCGATTTACTTGCAGCCTGGAAAGCAAATTTAACTGCTGTACAAGAGGGTATGAAATCTGTAGCTGCTGCACAAATGGAACTTGCTGGAAAAAACAAAACTTCTATTACCCATTGATGACATTTAACTTCTGTATATGTAATTTAAAATTTGTGCATACAAATATTGATTGGAAATCAAGTTTAATTAATTTCTTAATTAATTTCCAACCTTACTTGAATAAATAAATGCGCCGCGTGGTACAGTATTATGTTCACAATTAAATTACTTACATAATTAAAAATCTGATGATAAAAAAAATTATTTATAGGATTTATAATCCTACCAGTTTATTTAAAATTGTACAATATACACACATCATCTTAGTTTTTAATTAGAAAGCTGTAAAAATATTAACCTTCATAAATTAAAAAAAAAAGAATCATTTATTGTATTATTTTTGATAAAATAGTTTATAAATAATTTGATATACTCCTCAACGTGCTTTTCTTGTACATTTTTGTATATAAAGAATTAAAAAGTTGAGATATGTCATAATTGTAGTGTGAATAATCCTGGAATATAAATATTGGTAATAATTCAATTATACACTTATATTTTTCGTACAGCAACATTTTATTTTCATTAATCAATTTTTATATGTGATAAAGAGAATTTTTGACATTTTTTGGAGCATTTCTCACATTCTACAATTTGATCAATAGAACATTCATATACAACTTTATAACTGTGCATTACATATCAAAAGAGTCACATAGGCTTTTGTACTAATTCATTTAATTGTTTCTAATCTGTAATTTGTTGCTTATCACATGATACTGTTAACTGGTACAAAAATTACAAACCTTAAAAAATCAATGATATAAATCTATAAAAAATTAACACAACAAGTGACTTTAAGCGAATTCAAAATATAAAAGTAAAGTAAAAATATCTATTGAAATTTTTATCATTATATGTTCGTACAAAAACATACGTAAACGAAATTTTTTATAAACATTTTTTTATCTGTATATCTCGCATACAATTTTTTGATATCAACATAGACATATATATATATATACATATACATATACACATACATATACATATATATATATATATATTCTTCTAAGACTGTCTTCGTATACGTGTTTACAAAAACAATATATGTATATGTATTATAACAAAAATGTTTCTTTGAATCGCAGTACATTTTTATGCTACAATTTTTCTGTTAATAATTCAATTCATCAAAAGATAGATATGTTAACAGATGCATTACAACATAATAAATAAAGAGGGAAATCTAAACTTTTTGAACGAACATCTTTGATTGCTATTTAAATTTAGTTGAACCAAACGCAGTAATTTACATACAGTTACTATAGAAAAATATTGGTTAACTAACAAAAAATTCTCTTACATGCAAAAAAAAGTATCAAGAGCTGAATTAATGTAATAAAACATTATGTATGACATCAGTGCAATTTATAAGAGTAATATGAAGTTAATATAGCGTAACTTATAATCAATTATTCTACATCCAATAATAATGATGCATCGTAAAAATAATAACTATTATTGTAAAATTATTTCAATAGCTTAGTCACTAATTGATAAGTAAAAAACTTTTTTTGCCCCTTTTTTTCTTTCTAGTACGATTTTACTTTAGATATGGCATCGTAAATCTCACGTTGGATTGATTCTTGAAATCTAAATATCTTTTTTTCTTTTTTACGTCCTACGTTATACAATCAGTAACAAATATATAGCACATTTATATAACATAGCCTCAAGTATATGCAGGTATGAAAATCTTTTTCTTTTATGAACTCAATATACTAACAAAGCTAAGATTTGAAATAATATTTTATCTTAAAATATATTCAAAATATACGCGAAATATTAATAATTTCGTATATTTCTATGTTTATTCTGCCTTTGCTTACACCAAACTTTTGTAGCATTCATTGAAAGACAGTTATGAATAATAGGTACTTTATATTTATATTGAAGTTTTAACGTGAATTCATTCTCTTTCTTTGAAAATATTGCAAAGTCAGATTTGAGTAGAGAAACGAGGACGTGGCAAGTCTCCAAATACTGTATCACCATGAACGCTTTTTGCTAAAGCTTTAATCGAAGCTCGAATGTTATGTGGATCATGTGGATCTCTTGAGAGCTGCAATAACATTTTATTGTTTTAAGTAAAAAGATATTATCTTGTAAGGTACTTATACATATGCAAACGCATCAATAAATATTATAAAACTATCAATAGCTTTGTTGTCAATATGAATAGCTGTATATTATACATATTATACATATTTATACCTGATCATCATCTTCATCTTGAACTGTTTTGCGGACAAATGATGGAAAAGATGGAACACTAACTGGTAACGATTTGGCTAATGTAGGATGTCCGCCTCTTTGTCCCCTTGGCATATGAATACCTTCATCTTGACCTGAATCTAAGTATAATACAAATAACATTATTTAAATCTTTTACATCGAAATTAAGATTTACATAAATTGAAAGTTAAACTAACCATCTGTATCAGATCCTTCCTCTGAAGATTGAACTTGATCAGTATTAAGAGTGTCTTCCATTCCTTCCAAAGGAAATAAAGCTTCTGTGTCAAAACTAGTTGGTTCTTTAGTGTATATGTATATTCGATCTTTCTTATCTATGCTACCATTCTAAAAAAATGTTAAACAACTAATAAATTTTATAACTACAATTATTCATGGATATACATTAAAAGAAGTCACAAAAAAACATAC